GGAAGTTATTGCGTCCGCCAAGGCCACAGCCTCGTCATTTAATATAAGCGTGTCGCGTGTCATGTTTTTATGTCGTACCGTGTTGCCATTCTGTGCGGCCGTATTGTCGCGTGTCTTAATGTCGAAATCTTACAGCGCACGATCTGCATGTTTTACGGTATCGGCGCTTTGTGTTATAATAATTACGATAAGTGATTGTAGTTATTATTAGTGGCGAATATTCCGCCGTATCGAGATTGCGTAGCGTCAAGCTCTTGTACTTTTTCTGTCCTTATCTGACCTTCGGTCGAGTGTGGGGAAGTCCCGCGAGCGCACACGAAGTCACGCCGTGTTTACGCTACCGCTCTTACCAAATTCGATCGCCGAGTGAAGCGGCGAATTATTGTTCGCATAATTCGCGAAAATGTCCTTGCGTGACGTGAGCTCGTGCCACAGAATTCTAACGAAAGTGGTACGCACCGCGTAAAGCATCTCAATGTCGGTGCGAAACAGCGACCGCGGTGGGTCTTATCATCACAATTTTGTCGGCAGATGTAAATGAAAGCCGAAGACTTGTTCAATATACTTGTTATTTTTGCTATTATTAATCTTTGTGTGTTTTATTGTTGTTACTATTCGCTTCTCCAAACGATCCTCTATCCTCGACCACGAACCGCCCTCTCTGCCATTTCCGAGGCTGAGCTACCGGTTGAGAGCCCGTCGACGTTCACAGCCCGTTAGAATATTGCAAACAGAAATATCATGTAATTTCGAGGAAGGGTGGCACGCTCACTCATGCCTGGCGCCCAACTATTGTTTCGCAATTTTATGTTACCCTTAAGAGTGGCCGCGTGAAGACGCCTTCTGTCGCGTTTCGTTTAACGTCACCCGTAATCCGATTGCATAAGGAAATCTGCTGTGTACGCGCGACAAAGTTGCGTCACGCTCGTGAGTGCAGTTTCACTATCAAGGAAGACAAAACTGCGCAAAACTGCATAACAGGAAATTGAGGTACTGTCATGAAAGAGAACGCACTCGAAAAGGATAATAGATTCTTATCGCATCTTTAAGGATGTGGTATCTAACAGGAATACATAAATACGCAAAAACTGCATAAAAGAAAATTGAGGTAAAACGATAGATTCTTATTTTAATATCTTTTTTTATTAAACTAACAATTAAAAAAAACACAATAAAAGTGTGTGGGGAACAGTGGTACAATCGAATGCAATAAAGTGTCATCGCAAAAAAAAAATACGCAGCATAAGTGTGAGTGAAAGCGGATCCGTCGTGAGAGATCAAATCTTCTAATACGCATCCGTTGGTGCGAGTGAGAGACAAAATCTCCTACGCATCCGTCGTGAAAGATCAAATCTTCTAATACGCATCCATCAATGCGAGCGAGAACGAGCGAACGGCGTCGGTGCGAATGCGAGCGAGAGCGAGCGAACGGCGTAGGTATATTAGGCCGGTTCTAACTCAGGTCCTCTGAGGGGAGCGCGGGGTGCGGGGGGTACTGGTTTGGCGCGGGGGGGATATTCGTCGGCGCGGGCGGAGGAAGGCGCGATAGAGGGGAAAGGCGCGGGAAGTCCCGGCGGCATCATTGTAATAGGACCCACATAAACAATGCGTTTCTTATTTTTTTCATCCGCCGCCGCCGCCATCGCCACCGCCGCCGCCGCCATTGCTGCGGGCCCCGCGTCCACCCCAAAAATGCGAGGATAACAAGGGTTCGCACGTTAGAGAAAGATAGAGCGTGCACGACGCTTTACATGACATAATTATTATCTGGCATGTACCAGATTAAAGGATGGAAGAAATGAATCCTCTTTTTTATGACGCAGTTTTTTCAATACGATTTTTTATTAACGCATCGAGGTATGGGATGGATGGATGGATGGAGACTAAAAAATAAAGTACATATATAAAATGATGTGGATGAAAATTTTTTATTCGCCTCTTATTACATCATGTTTTTTTCTCATATTTTATTACATTTTTTTCGCGATCGACAGCGTTCGAATGCAATCGACGGCTCGAACATCGCTAGCTATGGCTTTGATGGCATTGATGACATTGATGATGATGGTGATGAACATGTTGGCGATTTTGATGATGTCGATGAGGAACATGTTGGCGATTTTGATGCTTTTTTACTTGGACATTCCCAATATCTCGCTTTTTCACCTGGACATTCCCAATATCGCGCTTTTTCCCTCGATGGTGGTGGACTTGGCGGACCTGTGACAAGGGACGGTACCCCTTGCGCTCGATCGATTTTCGATGTATATATTCTTTTACACGATCCATGTCTTATCACTCGTAATCGAAATTAACGATTGAAAGAAAAAAATTATATACACTGTTTATATACACTATCAGATCGATGATACATCGCGACGCGTTAAGAGAAACGCCGATGTCGGCTACTAAGCAAAACATAACTCTTCTACAGTAAAATGAAAGTGATACTCCAGTGAAAAGTATTAAATCACACTTCGCGTTCCCATAGCTCTTAAATTTCTTCGAAGAAGTATCGATAACGATTTTTTCTGAGAAAAGAGAGAGACCGATGTAGCGACATGTAGCGGTGCGTTAAAAGAAGCGTTGATGCTGTTTATATAAACTAGAATCGTTCGCAATGCTGCCGTATCTACTTCTAAATAAAGTATGACCCAATAGGCAAAGGGACAAAGAAGTCACAAATAAAATATATGAGTTATAAGCCTTTAGTTCCACAGTTGGTGCCCTGGAAGACGAATGAATCGGTCGCAATAAAAATAGTGGAAAAAAAAGTATGGTTGATCATCGTGCGAACGTTGAGGACATAGCCAACGTAGTCAAGCACATTAGAAATGTGGATCCGGAACAGTTCGCGAATATTAGTTCGAGACGAAGTGTTCGATCTAAAGAAAAAAACATGGAAAATCACGAGCGAGTGGAACGCGAACTGTTAGAGTGCAGCCGGGTCGCTACTTTGGTGGAATGTTTTGCGTGGCTGCAACGATGCGAGGAGTGCATCGAGCGGCTCGAAGAATTTTGTCGTGCCAAGCGTCCGCGCATCGCCGTTGGACACAGACAATCCATGGTGGCGAAGCTCGCGCGACTCGCGGATGCAAAGACACAATTAGAGCGACGTTTCGTGCACGTTGGTGGCGGGTACGCGAGTCGCGACGAAAGATATCTCGTCTGGCGAGAGATCGACGCCGCGTTTGAAAGCCGTATATCGACGGGTGCTATGGTCAACGTCGATTACATCGAGCCGCGGCGGTTTTTGGAAGACGCGAGAGAAATAGTGCTCGAATGTGTGCGAGACGCCGTAGAAAGACACGGTAGTGCAAAAGTGAACACCGCGTTCAACGGCGAGTTTGCGACGAAGGATAAACGTGCTAATAAGAGCATAATTTCAAAGAACAGCGAGATATACCGATACACCGATTTGCGCGAGCAGCATATCATCGAACCCACGTTGACATCACTCGAAGAGTTCCAGGAACGCGATAGCGGGTGGGCATTGTCGCGAATCCTCAATTTGGTAGTGAATGTGAACAAACTAAATTCCATGCGCGCGGGATGTTACTTCGAAGTACCGCGGGAAATAGCGACGAAACGAGCGGTGATCAATGTTAGTACGATGGACAATGCGTGCTTCGCGTGGTCGGTGGTCGCCGCTCTGTACCCGGCTGAAAGAAATGTAAATCGAGAGTCATCGTGTCTACATTATACGACGGTGCTGAATCTCGCGGGTATCGAATTTCCGATAACGTTCAAAGACATTCCGAAATTCGAACGGTTGAACGCGGTGTCGATCAATGTATACGGTATCGAGAATAAACAAGTCCTTCCTCTGCAGCTCACCAGTGACAGGAAGGACAAGCATGTCAATCTCTTGTACATGCAAGATCCACGCGATGACGGTATCGGCCACTTTGCGTGGATCAAGAACCTGTCACGTCTCGTGAGCTCGCAATTAAGCAAAAAAGAGCACAAGAAACATTTCTGCGATCGGTAAGTACACATGAAAAAATTATTATAATTTCTCATCTTATTAATAAAATATACAATAGGTAACTGTTATAATTTTTTTGTTTTTTTCAGATGCTTGCATTACTTCAGCACGAATGAGAAATTGCAGTCGCACACAATGGACTGCCAGAAGATGAACGATTGCGCTATTCGACTGCCGAGCGAGGACGAAAAGTGGCTCGAATTTGGGAACCACTGCAACAAGAAGCGCATCCCATTCATCGTCTACGCCGACCTGGAGTGCGTTTTACCGAAGACGGAACCCGACAGGGAAGATGCGTCGTCGTACGCGTATCAACGGCATGAGGTATTCAGCATAGGCTACTAAGTGCGTTGCTCGTACGATGACGCGTTATCGTCGTATCAATTCCGTCGCGACAAAGACTGTATAGCGTGGTTCGCGCGATAACTCAACGATTTGGCGCATCGCGTGAAAAATATCATATCCGCCAACATGCCCATGGAAACGTTGTCGAAAGAACAATGGGAGGCGTACCGTAGCGTGACACGTTGTCACATTTGCGAGAAACCGTTTGCGTCGGACGACACGCGGGTTCGCGATCATTGCCACTTAACCGGTAGATACCACGGTCCAGCGCATTCGAATTGTAACTTAAGTTATAAAAATTCATTATATATTCCGATCGTTTTTCACAATTTATCGGGCTACGACGCGCATTTTATAATTAAGGAAATCGTTATAGCATATGAAGGACACGTAGATGTATTACCGATAACCAAAGAAAAATACATCTCCTTCACAAAACATGTCGATAGCACTAAAGATAAAACTGAAAATAATTCTCAAAGAAATTGTGTAAAATTATATTTTATTGATTCTTTCAAATTTCTCAGTACAAGTCTCGATAAATTAGCGTCGTATCTCGATAAAGACAAATTAAAAATTATACGTTCAAAATTTTCAACACTATCGGATGATGAATTTGAATTACTGACTCGTATAGGTGTATTTCCATACGAGTACATTGACTGTGCCGAAAAATTGCAGGACACGCGCTTACCACCGCGCGAATCTTTTTACAGTTCGTTAACGGGCGATATCGTATCCGAGAGCGATTACGCTCACGCGGCGAACGTATGGCAACGATTCTCCATCCGAACGCTCGGCGAGTACAGTGATCTATACTTGAAAACCGATGTCTTGTTAGCCGACATTTTCGAAAATTTCCGCGAAAGTTGCGTCGGGAGTTACGGTCTCGATCCCGCACATTATTACACCTTGCTTGGTTTCACGTGGGACGTCATCGCTTCTTTACCAAAGAAAGGGAGAGGCTCAATTCCAAGCTCCGATGGTTGATCAACAAAAAGTTTAAGCGATCCATCGTTGGGATCGTGCCCATTCAATACAGTCTCGACTCTGTCCGTAAACCAGTCAATTCAGCTTCGGGTAATTCCTTTGAATTTTTGGGGCGCGACTCTCTCGTTAACCCAGCTCCGTACGTAGTCGACCCTTCTTCCTTTCCAACTAATAATTCGCCCAGTCCTATGATTTCCATTTCTCCCAACTCCTTTCATCCACAGGTTCCGTCGTCTCTGTCCACTGTCAGAGACGGCTGGTTTCTGAACTTGTCCTCGTGTGTTATCCCTCACAATGTTCAATGTTTCCTGCAACTGGGTGACAACTTCGCGCTCCCCCTTACCAATAAGAACAGGATCATTTTTGATTGCATCAAAGGGATTGAGAGTGGCACACTAAGAATGCCCTTAGATAGGAGAATGGATGTGATTAACCAATCCATTCCCATCATGAAAAACATCGTCTCGTCTCCGGTCTTCACTTCTGACATTCACAAGTGTTTGGCTGTATTAGAGTCGGACACACGATCGTTTTTGACGGCGCATCCCAACGTCGTGTTTACGCTTGCGGATAAAAGCAACGTCACTGTGGCTATGGATAGGGACGTTTACAGCGACAGAATGACCGAGTTATTGGGCGACTCAGACACGTATGTCCCGATTAAAAGAGATCCGACCAAAAAGCTTACGTCAGCCTTGAGGTCTATGCTCACTGGATGGAAGACCAGAGGTCACATCAAGGATTCTGAGTACAAAGCTTTGTACTGCAGTGACGATTCTCTTCCGAGGGCTTATGGGCTGCCAAAGATTCACAAGCCTGATTGTCCTCTTAGAATTATAGTGTCATCGGTGGGCAGTCCGCTACATTCTTTGGCTACGTTTTTACACAAGAAATTATTTAAAACCATCCCGAGAGCTGACAGTTATATGAAAAACAGTTTTGAACTGGTTGAGAGGCTGAGGGATGTGCACTTTACGGGGACACATGAGTTGACGTCTTTGGACGTTACCTCTCTGTTCACGAACGTGCCAACGAATGTAGCGATCGACTGTGTTAACGAACATTGGCCAACGGTTTCCGGGGATTGCTCTCTACCCAAGAAAGAATTTTTGGGAGCGATACGGTTTGTCCTGGACTCTTCGTTTTTTGTCTTTAACAATATTTTTTACAGGCAGAGCTTTGACACCCCCATGGGCTCTCCAATATCACCGGTGATAGCGGACTTAGTGTTGAGGAGATTGGAGACGGTGTCCTTGATGTCTGTGAATTTTTACATTCTATTCTATTATAGATACGTTGACGACATATGCACTGCGTTGCCCCCCTCTCAGATCAACGTGTTATTAGAGAGATTTAATGCATTCCATCCGCGCCTACAGTTTACCGTAGAGAGAGGCGGAAAAACGATCAATTTCTTGGACGTCACTGTGTCTGTCAACAATAATCGCTTTAATTTCGATTGGTACCGTAAGCCAACGTTTTCAGGTAGATTTTTAAACTCCCACTCTAATCATCCATTGACGCAGAAAAAAGGCACCATTTTTTCATTAGTCGACAGAGCCTTTTTATTATCTGACGTTAGTATTATCTGAGGTTTCACACAAAAAATTTGACCTCCATCATTGACATTTTACTTCTGAATGACTACCCACTAGACTTTATTTTTGACTCCATCAATCATAGGATCAAAAATTTGATTAGAAATAGACACAGATTATACGATACCGCGACTGACATTGACTTAACTAATAAATCTACCTCTTGGCTTACGGTGCCTTTCATTCCGCTTCACGGAGAAACTTAGATCTTTGAATAAAAGCAAAAGTGATCAGGGTGGCCTTCCGCAGCCC